CTATGAAACCTGCTCTCCAGAATAGAGATGCTAAAGCAAATGGAAGAAATGAGAAGGTAAAAAAGCTGAAAAAGAAAATTTGAAAAGGCAAATATAATGAAATGTGCAAAGTCCTGCAGTTAGAAAACCATAAGGGACAAACACATTCAGCATTCCTCAAGTGAGGGAACTGAATAAAAAAGTCAGGCCTCGAGTTGTTATATTGATGGATTCTATGGGCAAATTTTTGAATGCAGCAGAAAGCATCAAGAGAAGATGGAAGGAATATATAGTCACTGTACCAGAAAGAGATGCTTGATATTCTACCATTTGAAGAGGTAGCATATGATCAGGAGCCAATGTTACTGAAGGAAGAAGTCCAAGGTAAACTGAAGACATTAGCAAAGAAGAAGGCACCATGACTTGATGAAATACAAATTGAAATCTTTCAACAAACATGCAGCACTGGAGGCACTCACTCATCTATTCCAAGACATTTGGAAGATAGCTACCTGGTCAAATAATTGGAAGAGATCCTTATTTGTGACCATTCCAAAGAGAGGTGACCTAACTTAATGCGGAAAACACCTGACAATATCATTTATATCCTATACAAGCAAAGTTTTCCTAAAGATAATCCTGAAATGGCTACAGCCGTACGTTGACAGGAAATGCCGAGAGGTTCAAGCCAGAATCCGAAGAGGACCTGGAACAAGGGATATTATTGCTGACATCAGAGGGATCTTGGCTGAAGGCAGAGAATACCAGAAAGATGTTTACCTATGCTTCATTGGCTATGCATAGGCTCTCAGTTGTGTGGAACATGACAAGCTATGGACAACATTGTGAAGTATGAGTATTTCGGAACACTTAATTGTGGTTATGAGGAACTTGTTTATAGACCAAGAGGCAGTTTGAACAGAACAAGGGAATACTGAATGGTTTAAAATTAGGAAAGGTGTGTGCCAGGGTTGTATTATTTTAACTGTATTTATGCTGAGCAAATAGTTTGGGAAGCTGGATTGTATGAAGACAAATGTAGCATTAGGATTGGAGGAAGACTCATTAACAACCTGCAATATGTAGATGATACAACCTTGCTTGTTGAAAGTGAAGAGGACTTAAAATATTTACTGATGAAGATAAAAGACCACAGCCTTTGGTATGGGTTTACCTCAACATGAAAAAATTCCTAACCACTGGACCAGTAAACAACATCCATGTAAATGGAGAAAAGACAGAAGTTGTTAAAGACTTCATTTTGTTTAGATCCATCATGAGCACTCATGAAAGCAGCAGTCAAGAAATTAAATGACATATATTGCATTAGGTAAATATGCTGTACAAGACCTCTTTAAAGTTTTCAAGAGCAAAGATCTCAGTTTGAGGACTAAGGTGCCCCTCAACCAAATCATGGTATTTTCAGTAACCTCATATGCAGGTGAATGTTGGACAGTGAATAAGGAAGAATTGATGCATTTGAGTTATGGTGTTGGAGGAGAATTTTAAAAGTATCATAGACTGCCAAAAGAACAAACCAATCTGTTTCGGAGGAAGTATAGCCAGAATGCTCCCTGGAAGTTAGGATGGACAGAAGTCAGGAGGGACCAGTCCCAAAAAGAATATCATG